AGCTCCAGCCCCAGCTAAGCCTTTCTCCCAATTTATCACTTTCTGGGAGTCCTGCAAGGATTAACGCTGCTGCCCACGCACCAGCCAAGTCCTCATAATCTGCAAACCTGTAAGCTGTGTGCAGAGCCCATGTTTATTCATCTGATCCTGCTGCCTCCTGCAGGCCCCTTGCACATTTTGATCAGGCCTAATTAAGGCCAAGGCTCCAAACCTCCAGCAGTCCTCCTCAGGAGGACAGACCGGAAAAACAGATGGTAGGGGCCGGTGTTGTGGGTGTATCATATTAAGCCACTGCCTACATCCCATAAGAAGCAACAGTTTGAGTCTCATTTGTTCCACTTCCAATCAAGCTTCATGCCGATAGCCCACATACTTGGGCCTGTTACCCAGGCTGAAAACCTAGGAGCTGCTGGTTTGGATCTGGTCTAGCCATGGATGTTACAGCCACAGAATAAATTGACTGCTTTGCAAAAAAAATTTTAATTTTAAAAAATTATTTTTGGGCTCAGCACGGTAGCCTAGTGGCTAAAGTCCTCACCTTCCACATGCTGGGATCCCATATGGGCACTAGTTCTAATCCCAGTGGCCCCGCTTCCCTTCCAGCTCCCTGCCTGTGGCCCGGGGAAGCAGTCAAGGACAGCCCAAAGCTTTGGGACCCTGCACCCGCGTGGGAGACCCAGAGGAGGCTCCTGGCTTCGGATCGGCATAGCATCGGCCGTTGTGCTCACTTGGGGAGTGAATCATCGGGCAGAGGATCTTCCTCTGTCTCTTCTCTCTGTATATCTGCCTTTCCAATAAAAATAAGTCTTTAAAAAAAAAAAAAAAAAACACCTTTTTTTGAGGGCCTAGCACAATAGCCTAGTGCCTAAAGTCCTCACCTTGCATGTGCTAAGACCCTCTATGGGAGCCAGCTTGTGTCCTGGCAGCCCTGCTTCCTAACCAGCTCCCTGCTTACAACCTGAGAAGGAAGTTGAGGACAGCCCAAAGCCTTGGGACCCTGCACCCAAATGGGAGAACTGAAGAAGCTCCTGGCTTTGAACTCTGCAGCCACTTAGAGAGTGAATCATCAGATGATCTTTCTGTATCTCTTTCTCTCTGTATATCTGGCTTTCCAATAAAAATAAGTCTTTAAAAAAAAAAGACTATCTGAATATATTGAGTCAAATACTAAGCTAGTATCAACTTGTTGGTTTTATATATTACTAGAAGATTTCAAATTATGTCTCACTTTTGTGGTTGCATTACATTCCTTTTGATGCTAATTTTTTTTTTTTTTTTTTTGGAGCGGAGAGTTTTCTTCTCCGGACTGGACCTGGTTCTTTTACACACCATCTGAGCCACGAAAGGCTCTTGTGAGATCACAGAAGCTCCTCTGGTGAAGATGAAGTAATTGAGGCGTCAGGAAAGGGTAGGGCTAGCAGACCTGGGACGGGAAGGAAGGCACCCGTGCAGCAAATCCTCCCCACCGGAGCCATGCTGCCACCTGGTGGTCCCCATGTGGTTCTACCTAACCTATGATACACTTGAAGTGCTCCATTATCTGTGATGTTCTCTAGAGAAATTTTGCTTTTGCTTCAAACTCAGGGATAGTGCTGCCTGGGCCCACATCAGTAGTTTGGCTTAATTATTTTTTTTTATTAAAGATTTATTTTATTATTTTCTTATTGGAAAGGCAGATATACAGAGAGGAGAGAGAGGAAGATCTTCCGTCCAATGATTCACTCCCCAAGTGAGCCGCAACGGGCCGATACTATACCGATCCAAAGCCAGGAGCCTCTTCCGGGTCTCCCACGCGGGTGCAGGGTCCCAAAGCTTTGGGCCGTCCTCGACTGCTTTCCCGGGCCACAGGCAGGGAGCTGGAAGCAAAGCGGGGGCTGCCGGGATAGAACTGGCACCCATATGGGATCCCGGGCGAGCAAGGCGAGGACCTTAACCACTGCACCATCGCGCCGGGCCCCTCCTAAGCTCTTGATTGGCTTTACTGGTGTACAGCCCAGAAGTGCATGGGCTTTCATCTATCCAGGACCTAGAAAAGCCCACCACACTTCACAGATGGGGCTGGGTGCTGGGCTAGAGAACCCCTCATGACAGTGCCTCAGAGTTTACAATGGGAGAAGGCTCTTCCCAGTGACCAATGGGACCATGCCAGAATGGAGGGGCACCTTCAGAGCCACTGGGCCCGAGACATGGGCAGAGGATGGTGAGTCTGAGCTGGGCCGAATGTAAGCACATGCAGGTGGAGGGCTGAAGGCATGGAGAGCAGCAGCCATCAGGACCATCTCTAGGGGCTTTGTGGGCCCAGTGTTCCTGCTGTACTGCACAGTCAGAGATAGAGAGGAGGAGATGAAGAGCTTTTGTCCGATGACTCATTCCCCAAGTAACTGCAATGGCCAGTGCTGCGCCGATCTGAAGGCAGGAGCCAGGACCACCCTCCAGATCTCCCAAATGGGTGCAAGGTCCCAAGACTTTGGGCCGTCCTCAACTGCTCTCCCAGGCCACAAGCAGGGAGCTAGATTGGAAGTGAAGCTGCCAGGATTAAAACTGGCACCCGCCCACATGAGATCCCTGCGCATTTAAGGTGAGGACTTTAGCCACTAGGACACGGCGGTGGGCCCCTTGCTGCCAGTTTTACATGCACCTGCCAAGGTTGGGCTCCTGTGGTCTGGAGACTCCCACCCTGCTCACTTCAGCAGTCTGCTACATTTCATGCAGAGTTCTCCTTGAGGACCGAAAACCCTGAAAGAAACTGCTTTCAGTCTGTGGCATCCCTGGTTACTAGCAAACAGCAAGACAAGACACAAAGTTCCACCACAGAAAATAGGCTTCGGCAACTGCCAGCACTTTCCATCCGGTTCTTTCTATGCCATTCCGCATAGAACTGAGCAGGAATGAGGGTAAGCAGCATCTTCTCAGTGTTGGGGACCAGATCCCAGCACCTTCACCAAGCGATGTCCCAGGAGGCAACTGGCACCCTAGAAGCCTATACTCGACCACCCAGAGGCTGCAGTACCCAAGGTGGCACACTGCCACTGTGGAACCCACATTCTCACACAGCCTCTGGTCTCAGAATCCACCTGAGGACACCCTTCTTCATCACTTGAATTCGGAGTAACTTGAAACAGCATTCCTGTGCATCACTGAGTCTCCTGTTAACCTTCGTTTGATAAAACTAGTGTGTGGCGCGCTCACTCCTAGAGACACCTACTTCTAATTGGTGAAGTTCTCGTCTCAGCAATATCTGTACCTTCCCCTAGTTTACCACAACCACTCTATCAGGATGCACTCACATTTAAACTTCAGGTTTAATTTGACCCCTCACTATGAAGACAAAACTTTACAGTGTTCAACACCACAGGGATGAATCGTGGCAGACACGGTGAGACCAGTCCCCAGAGAGCCTCCATCAGATGGGAAATTATTCACCAATAAGCAGAAGGCAGTAGTGGCATGCATTACAGCTTCACTAACACAAAAGCATCGATTCCTATCACATGACACAGCAAGTGGGGACTCGGGGATGTGATGCTGCCACTACCCCAAAATGGTTTGTGGCAACTGTTGCACAGCTATACACACACATACTCCACACCACACACTGGCCATGCATATGGCATGCGAATTTCCAAACTGCTATTTTGGGACCAGCAGGGTAACTAAATTGGCTAATTCTCTACTTGCAAAACTCTACTTCCCACCCATGCTTGTGGCCTTCGAAGGCAATGGGGGAGGGTCCAAAGCCTTGGGACCCTGCAGCTCCGTGGGAGACCCAAAACTGGCCATCTGGGGAATGAACCAGCAGATAAATCTGTAAATCTGTCTTTGCAATAATTCTTTAAAACGAAAAGCCTTGGGCCCAGCAGCTAAAGTCCTTGCTTTGCACATGCCAGGATCCCATACGGGTGCCGGTTTGTAACCCAGCAGTCCTGCTTCCCATCCAGCTCCCTACTTGTGGCCTGGATAGGTAGTTGAGGACAGCTCAAAGCCTTAAGATCCTACATCCTAGTGGGAGACCTGGAAAAAGGTCCTGGATTCAGATTGGCTCAACTCAGGCCATCGCAGCTGCTTGGGGAGTGAATCTTTGGATGGAAAATCTTCCTCTGTATGACTTTCCAGTAAAAGTAAAATTTTTAAAAAACAAAAACCCCTGCTATTTTTTAAGATCTACAGGCCAGATCTTGGCCAACTGACATCCCAGGCTGGTTTTGCTAGCCGTCCAAGGGTTATCAGCAATACCACCTCAACAGGGTAACATCCCCCCTACCCTAACTCAGGACCTTTCCTTACTCCCTCTGCTGGGCATAACCACTCAGTTCCACCAGCAGAGCTGCCCCAACCTCCTGCCTGCCACTCTGTTCCTACCAAAGGCCACATCCCAGCCTCAGTGTCTTTGCCTGTCCACCCCCACCACAGCAGTCACAGGGCACCATAGCATTCCTTTGCAGAACACTGCGGTACCATCTGGTGCCGAGTCCTTGGAGCTGGCTCCAAGCTTCCGGAAGGCAAGAACTTTATTTTCTATTGCAATGAAAATAGGACTTGGTGTATATTTGTGGGGTAACTGAATCTTTAGGTACTTTATGTACTGGTGGGGAATAAGTGCCAAGATCTGCCAAGTGAAAAGCAAGCACAGCAGGGCAAGCTACAACTGTGCACAGAAGGTGTGGGGGGAGCACGCCACCCACCCGTGTTTATATTTGGCGCTGGTCTGGAAGGCTCCTCTTCTGCTCGGGCCACACTTCATCAACAGCTCCCACTCTGCTCTGGCTCTTTAAGAACCAGTCCATTTATAGGACAGACATCTCCACTTTCAAGGTCCGGTTTTAAAGACTGAGATAACTTCAAGCCAACAAACTTGCACAGAGCACACACCAGCAGTGCCAGCACCTCCCAGGACCCAGCTCCTCTGCCCTCTCCCCTCCCTGGCTCTAAAGCAATGTACACTGCCCGCCCTTTTATGTGCACCCTCGGGCAGTTGTTACATTAAGGACAGAGTAAACAGCTTACATGATGACCATTTATTAACAGAAAATAATGTGGGGAGTCCTGCTCACAGGCGGCGACCACGGCGACCCCCCTTCCTGCGGGTGCTGTCGGAGGGGATGGGGGTGACATCCTCTGGGGGAAGAAGAAAGAAGCCATCAGTGCCCGGAGTGGAGGGAAGGAGCAGGGCTGCCCAATCAGTAGCGAATCCTGTCTGCACCAAGAGCCCCACTCCACCACAGATGAAGGGAGCAGCCTCGTCTGTGATGGTTTCCCAATGTGCTTCCACCTGGCTTTCTAAAGGTTCTAAAGGTTCTGACAGGGTCAGGAGGAGACACACCCTCGTCTTCACCACCTAGCCTTCAGAAGCAGCTGTAGCCTCCTCCTCTTCAGTGGGTAAAAAATGGGAGCCTTCAACTTCAACTGCCATCACTATCACACCTCACCAGTCAACACAGACACCAAGAACATGGAGTCCTTGGACGTGAGAGGGCCCACAGAAATGCTAACTGCAGTGCCAGGGATACAGGGAGAAGTGTTCCTTTTCCTGTTCCAACTTCTGCCAAGCAGTGTGGCAGATTCAGAAATGAGGTGCCTCAATACAGAAGAGGAGGGCAGGGTTGACAAGGGACGGAAGTCAAGTGGTAATGCCCCCCACAACCCTTGCTAACAATTCTAACCAGCAGTACTACACCCGTCAGGCACACCACACGCTTTGGGGTGTCAAGGCCAACCCAAGTGCTACCTAAAGCAAGGCACTTACCAATTCGCCCAATTTTCATCCCTGAGCGGGCAAGGGCTCTGAGAGCTGACTGGGCTCCAGGTCCAGGGGTTTTGGTCCTTGGAAAGGAAGGTGTAAGTTAAAAATCTAGTTCTCTTGATAAAGGTCAGGTGCAGGGATGTGTGGCCAGTATGTAAAGTTTGCTGGCTACTAAGTTCCTGTTGTGCACGTCACGCTACTTTCCCACATGCCTGATCAAGTTCTGTATCACCTCAAGATCCTTCCCTTGCTGTGGTATTCTCCTGCTTCCTTCACTGGGGAAACTCTTGGTTTATCATTTCAACTTTCATGTCACCATCTAAATTCACCAAAAACGGAAACTACACACCCACATACTGCGTCGTAACTTAAAACTGGACGCCCTGAACAGCCTGGGTGGCCATCGGGGAAGAAAGAGGCCAGACTATTGTTCCAGTACTTAGAACATCCCCAAGCCTTGTTACCTATTTCCTCCTGTGGCCCGCAGTTTGATGTGTAGGGCAGTGATGCCCAGCTCTTTGCACCTCTGGGCCACATCCTGGGCAGCCAACATGGCAGCATATGGTGAGGATTCATCTCGATCAGCCTTCACCTTCATTCCACCAGTCACACGGCAGATGGTTTCCCTGGACACAAAATCAGAGGCATTTCTTCGTCACCCAACAGTAAGTCACAGAGCGTTGCTGTGCCCTAACAGGAGTACCACTGTCCAACTGTGGCAGAGGACAGCCACCCCGAGCCTGGACAGGCCCTCACGGCTCTCAGCCTAGTGGGGATAATAGCCAAGTTACCTAGAGCTGGGCTCACCTGCAGCCCTGCAATGCCCTTAGGAGTCCCAAGCACCTCCCACAGTGCACAGCTGTCAGAACACAGAGCAACTCCTTGCACCTCTGGAGATCCCACCCCAGGACTCACTTGCCAGAAAGGTCAGTGACGTGAACAAAAGTGTCATTGAAGGACGCAAAGATGTGGCAGACCCCAAAGACATTCTCCCCTTCGGCCACCTGAGGCCCGAGGCTGATGACCTGCTCTTCCTTCTTCTCCTTCCCCTTGCGAGGTGCCATTTCTGAATAGAAAAATCAGCTGCAACGTTAACAGACCAAAAGTTGCCAGAAGTATAAGTCCCTTTCCCTGGCTACTAGAGGAAACACCAAGTTTGTTGCTGGGTCTGTCTCCCTGCACCCCAGACTGGGTTGTATTCTCATCTCTGCCTCAATGAACCCCATTTCCCTGCACTTACAGAAGGTCAAGGGCTGACCAAAAAAGCCAAGTACAGCTGGCAATCCTTTTCCAAAAAACAACCTAAGTAGGGCTCACAACACCTAGGGGACACAAGTTTAGGGTAGCAGCAGCCCAAGGGGGCTTCTAGAATATACATGCCAAAGGGTTGCTCAGCAAGCCAGCCAAATCCAAGCCCGCCTCTGAGTCTTTCTGGTGCTCACCTGAAAAGCAGGTGGTGGTTTGCTCATGGTGACACGACACAGCAGGCTGGGTGTGAAGCTGCCCACACCCGAGAGGACCAGAGGTCCTCCCAGCCTCCTGATCACTGCCTCACCAATTTGCATTAAGGCTTGACAGCACGTGTAGGGGGCACACACCACAAGCACAGAGCCCAAGGCCAAAGGTCATGCCTGCCCATCCTCACTGAGCGCTGCCCTGGGGGTTTCGGTTTCAGCAGCCTGTACCAGTTCCTCAGCTCTCCACCTGCCCCCAGCTGTGCAGACAAGCCCTCAGCTCCAGCAGCACCGAGGCGCGCTCATCCGCCAAGGGGAACGGCTTTCCACCTCAAGCCACAGCTAGAAACCGGCCGCCCGTCCAGCCCAGCACTCTGCCAAACAGCTCATCTGACCCCGGGGGCGCTGACTGCCAATTCTTACCGCAGCTCTTGGTGCCTAAGCCAATCTCTCCTACCCCCGGGAGGAGTGCAACCGGGGAGGGGGGTTAGTGCTGGGACTAAAGCTGCGGTAACCAGGCAGAAGTACCGCCTGGGATGTCCCCCGTCTGCACCTCACAGGAGAAGGGGAGTGGGGGAGGCGACACCCACACGGGACCCGGGGCCGGGCTCCCACGGCAGTCCTTCCACCGGCACTCCAGGCTAAGGCAGAGGGATCCAACCCGACAGCATCGGGGAGGGGGGTCCCGCGACCCTAACCACACTGGGCCATGCCCTAAGGGACGGATCCACTCGCGCCCCGACTCCAAGGGCTCCTCTCTGCAGCCCGACGGCCGCCTTCCGGCACACGGGGCAACGCCGAACCCGACCGGGCCAGGATCCGGGTCGACCGGCAGCGCACCCGCCGCTACACGCAGACACCCCTCCGCACCCTCAATCCCGCGTCTCGCGCCCCGCCGAGGCCCCTCACCCCAGGATGAAGCCCGATTGTCGGCGCCGGGAACCCTCACCTGCGCGTCTTCCCTCAACTCCGCCACCGGAAAGAGAGCGACGGAAGGGGCGGGGAGACAGGTCACTGTTGGGTCCCGGAAGTAGACCTCAGGGGTCACGGGGAAAGGCGGTGCTACAAAGCCAACCTGGCCCTTACGTTTTCCAAGGCGATTAAAGCTTGCCCTAAGCAAGGACGTTTAACTTAAGAGAGCTAGAAAGAGGCAGAGAGCAGGGTGTCGCTGCGAGCACATTCGCCTACACGACTGTACACGTCCGATAGTCCGCTTCAGTGAGGCGGGTCCGCACTCCAAGATGGCGGATAAGTGACTTCCGCCCCGACTGAGGCCTTCCGGCCCGATACCTGCAGCGCGCCCTAGCGGTGCGGGGGAGAATAGCAACAACACAACGTCTAGAGAAATATTAAACTCTCGATCAAAGAGATGCGCATCAGAAATGCGCTTCAGTTTTCACAGGATTTCAGTGTGTGAAGAAGTTGTCACAATGCGATGAGATAAACAAAGATTTTTCAGTAAATAGCAATGGGATAGAAAATTAACAATTTAAGAGACAAGGGAAAAATTCAGATCCACACTTTATATTATACATTGAAATTCATTCCATTTGACTTGAATACATAAATATATTTAAAACTGTCAAATTCCAGAGAAAATTGATTAAATATTTATCAAAAGTACGAATGTGAAAGTAACTCTATACTTGCAAGCCATAGAATTACTATAGAGAAAAGACTAAATAAGTGCTTGACTACATAAAACCCTTAAAAAGGAATTTTGTTAAACATCAGTGTCCTCGGCAAAATAAGAGTTATTCGATGCTTATCTACCAGCCAAGTAAGCAGTTTATACCCATTGCTTCATGTAATTCTCACAATATCAATAGATACTGGCTTCCCGTTTACATATAAGGATGCTGACCTGACACATGCGTGGTGTGTTCAGAATTAAAGCCTGTATGTTTAATAGCTACTTCCATATATCCCCCTAACCCCTCTAATAGCAACAATACTAAAGGGCCTTGAAGGATTGAGATACTGTGGATGGGAACATGGAGACGAGCTGGGAAGTGTATTTAGCAGACATGAGCGTCTTACGTGCAGACACACAGATAAACATGTACATATGACATCTATAGTTCCATAGTATGTAGCATGGAGTTCAGCAATCATGAGGGCTGGAGCTGTGGTGCAGCAGTTTAAGCTGCCATCTCCAGTGCTGGCATCCTGTGTGGGCACTGCCTGGTGTCCGGGCTATTCCGTTTCCAATCCAGCTCCCTGGCTGGCCCTCCTCTGCTGCTTTCCCGGACCATTAGCAGAGAGCTGGATCCGAAGTGGAGCAGCTGGGACAGAAGCTTACATCCATATAGGATGGCAGCATCACAGACAGTAGCTTTACCTGATACATCACGACACCAGCTTCTTAATTTTAGTATTTTGAATATAAAAAATGCATGCAGAAAAACTTAATACTAGGGGCCAGTGTTGTCACCTAGTGAGTCAACCCACTGCTTAGGACAGCCCCATTCCATAGCAGAGCTCCAGTCCCTGTCCTGGCTCCTTGGTTTCTGACCCAGCTCCCTGTTTGTGAGCCTGGGAGACAGCATGTTATGGCCTCTGCGGCCCAAGGGGAGACCTGGGTAGAGTTCTGGCTCCTGGCTTCAACCTAGCTCAGCCCTGAGTGCCCTGACCTTTCACTGCAGCCTTTCATATAAGTGATTTTTAGAAGCATAACTCTCCCAAAAACACCCATGCCCTCCTTCTCACACTTCTGTCTGCAGCGGCTGCGTCATCTCCCTGGAAAGCTACAGGTAGTAGCCGGATTGCATAATTTTTAACCACTAATGGCATTCCCTTGCATAGCCGCACCACTGTTTCTATACTCAGTTCTCTATCGATGGACATTTCGGTTATTTCCCAAGTGGGCAAGTATAAATTTGTACTAATCTTTCTCAGAATAAATTGCTGAAAGTCACAACAAATATGTGGTTGATACATGTTGCTGAACTGCCCTCCAGAAAGTGCCAGTCCATTCTACTCGTGCTAAACCCAGAAGCCACACACGCGTCTTTGTTGCGTGCATCCCTGCTGTGATGCGTGAGGTCAGACATCTCTTCGTGGGATCTTCTGACCATCGAACTTCATCTGGGAACTCTCTGTTTACATTTTTTTGAGAAGGAGGCAGTCTGCTCTAGGAAGAGGGGTCCCCAGTAGAGATGTCTGAGCAGAGTGGAATGTTGAGGAGTGACTTCCTGCTTTGCATGAGAGTTGCATCAAATAGAGCCCTGGTGCTTTGGCTGTGGCGTAGCCAAGAGCTTGGGCCCCTGCACCCACATGGGGACCCAGATAAGCTCCTGGCTGCAGCCTGGCCCAGCCCTGGCCTTTGTGGCCATATGGGGAGTGAATCAGCAGATGGAAGATCTCTCTCTGTCTCTGTCTGTCTGTCTCTCTCTGTGTCTATCTTCCAAATAAATAAAAAATAAATCTTTGGAATAAAAATATTTGTATTAAACAGATATCTGAGTCTTCACAAAGAAAAGCTCTGAACAGATTTTTCCTTGGGAAAATCTTTTCTTTACCCCAGAAACCACCAAACCCACCGCTTTCACACTCCACTTGTACGATTTAATTAAGATATTGATTTGTTTCTAAAAACTGTTAACTCTCAATCCTGGCAAGAGTTGAAACCTTCCTGGACTTTAGCTTTGTCATCTATAAAAAGGAGTCATAGCATCTTCAAAGATTGAAAACAGATCTCGGCCCTGGCACGGTAGCCTAGTAGCTAAAGTCCTCACTTTGCATGCACCGGGATTACATATGGGTATCAGTTTGTGTCCTGGCTGCTCCACTTCCCATCCAGCTCCCTGCTTGTGGCCTGGGAAAGCAGTTGAGGTCGGTCCAAAGCCTTGGGACCCTGCACCCACGTGGGAGACCTGGAAGAAGCACCTGGCTCCTGGCTTTGGATCAGCTCAGCATCTGGCCAATGTGGCTGCCTGGGGAGTGAGCCAGCATATGGAAGATCTTTCTCTTTGTCTCTATTTCTCTCTATAGATCTGACTTTCAAATCCAATAGAAATAAATAAATATTTTTAAAAGGAAGGAAGGAATAAATAAATTAATACAGAAACAGTTGTCTGTGTTGGGCACCTACTTTGTGCCGAGTGCCAGGATACAGTTTTCATGGCATCGAAAGTGGGACTTGGGCCCAGTGCGATAGCATAGGGGTTAAAGTCCTCACCTTGAATATGCCGGGATCCCATGTGGTCGCTGGTTCTAAACCCACCAGCCCCGCTTCCCATCCAGCTCCCTGTGGCCTGGGAAAGCAGTCCAGGACAGCCCAAAGCTTTTGGGACACTGCATCCATGTGGGAGACCTGGAAGAGGCTCCTGGCTTCAGATCGGCTCAGCTCTGTCCATTGTGGCTGCTTGGGAACTGAATCAACGGATAAAAGATCTTGCTCTCTGTCACTTCTCCTCTCTGTATATCTGACTTTCCAATAAAAATAAATAAATACTTTAAAAAAAGCTTACATACTGGAAGAGGACCAGACAGCATGTCTAAGTAGATTTTCTATTGTGTTTGAGGGAGATGAGTTAGGTGGAAAGAAGAGAGAATTGGGCATCGTAAATGATATTGGAGTCAGAGGGAAGGTGCAAAGCAGGGCAGGTGGCAGAACTGAACAGAGACTTTGAATGGAGGAGTGAGGCGGGAGCCAAAGCAAGCCTTGCTGAGGTCTAAGCGGATTGTGACAGCTGGTATGGCATGTGCCACAGAGATGGTGACTGACATACCCTGGGGATAGCCAGGAGGCCAGTGAGGCTGGGTGGGGGGAGCAAGGGGAGATGAGGACAGGAGGACTTTGGCCTTGCTTAAGGTGGGGCCGTAGGAGGTTTTTAAGCAGAAGAATGGTGCACACATTTCTGTTTCAAGGGGTCACACTAGAGTCTCTGTGAAATATAGGCTCTTAGTGGGCCCAGCACCATTTTATAACACGCTAAGTCTCCACCTCTGGTGCTAGCATCCCATATGGGTTCTAGTTCGAGTCCAAGCTGATCTACTTCCAATTCAGCTCCTTGATTTTGGCCTGAGAAAGCAGCGGAGACAGGACCAAGTGCTTGGGCCCCTGCAACCATGTGGGTGGGTCACTTGGAAGAACCTCCTGGCTCCTGGCTTCTGATCAATTTAGCTCCAGCCCTTGTAACCATTTGGGGAGTGAACCAGCAAAAGGGAGATCTCTTGCTGACTCCCCTCTTTCTATAACTCTGCTTTTCCAATAAAAATAATGGGCCAGCTTTGAAGTGTGGAGCAAGAAGTGGTTCAAGAGGACTCCTGGTGACTACAGCAATGGGACAGAGAAAGCTACCTTAAGTCAGAATCGGAAAGGTTGGAGGTAAATGAAATTTTTGGAAAAAGGTCAGATATTCAGTCTTGGGACTGAGTTCAAGGTTTATTTATTTATTTATTTGAAAGTCAGGGAGACATAAAGTAAGAGACAGAGAGGGAGAGATTATCTTCCATTCTCTGATTCATTTCTCAAATTCCCCCAATAGCCAGAGCTGGGTCAGACGGAAGCCAGGGTGCAGAACTCCATCCACCTGGAGGAGAGGACTGGGATATTTGAGCCCTCACCTGCTGCCTCAAAGGATGGGCACCAGCAGGAAGCTGGGCCAAGAGCAGAGGGGGTTGGTATTGTAACCAGGTACTCTGATCTAGCATGCGGAGGCCCGAGCAGTGTCTTAACCGCTGCCCCAGGTGCCTGGCCCCGGGTTTGAAATGCTCATTTGCATGTCCAAGTGTAGGCATCAGAGAGATTGTTGGGATAGAAGGTTCTGGGACTGAGGTGAGGATCAGGAATGGAGTGTCCGCAGAGGAGGCCTGGCCTCTGTGGGACTGAGGGTCCTGAGACTGTTCACAGAGGGACCAGGGTCAGACCCAGAGGGACTGGGGTCGTCTTTGTGACATGTCACCTGGCCACAGAGCAGGGCTGGGTGACATGGCCGCTCAGTGAGACTGAGGAGATGGATTCAGGAGGAGTCACGGCATGAGCAATGACTGTGAAAGCCAGCGACCAGATTGGACAGGAGGATAGGAATGTTAATGAGAGGCATCAAGGG